TACATGTGGCCCTCCATCGAACGTTCCCGAATGTCCCTAACACTCCGAAAGTTCCTGCGAGGCCGATCCAGAACGAATTTGTGAGGCTGATCCGAACGATCCCGAACGATCCCGAACGATCCCGAACATTCCCGAACGATCCCGAACGATCCCGAACGTTCCTGCGAGGCCGAACCAGAACGATTCTGTGAGGCCGATCCCGAACGATTCCGAACGATTCCGAAGGATCCCGAACGATCCCGAACAATCCCGAACGATCCCGAACGTTCCTGCGAAGCCGATCCAGAACGATTCTGTGAGGCCGATCCCGAACGATCCCGAACGTTCCTGCGAGGCCTATCCAGAACGATTCTGCGAGGCCGATCCCGAACGATCCCGATCCTGCGAGGCCTATCCAGAACGATTCTGTGAGGCCGATCCCGAACGATCCCGAATGATCCCGAACGATCCCGAACGATCCCGAACGTTCCCGAACGATCCCGAACGATCCCGAACGATCCCGAACGATCCCGAACGTTCCCGAACGTTCCCGAACGATCCCGAACGTTCCTGCGAAGCCGATCCAGAACGATTCTGTGAGGCCCATCCCGAACGATCCCGAACGATCCCGAATCCCGAACGTTCCTGCGAGGCCTATCCAGAACGATTCTGCGAGGCCGATCCCGAACGATCCCGAACGATCCCGAACGATCCCGAACGTTCCCGAACGATCCCGAACGATCCCGAACGATCCCGAACGATCCCGAACGATCCCGAACGATCCTGCGAGGCCGATCCTAATTAATTTTAATCAATTTTAAGTCATTTTCATTAGTTTTAATTACTTTTAATTTTGACTAATTTTATTTTATTTTAATTAATTATAATTAATTTTAATTACTTTTAATTAATTTTCATTAATTTCAATTAATTTTAATTAATTTTAATTAATTTTAATTAATTTTAATGTATTTTAATTTTATTTAATTTTAATTCATTTTATAATGAATTTTAAATTAATTTTAAATACTTTTAAGTAATTTTAATGAATTTTAATTAATTTTAATGATTTTTAATTCATTTTAAAATTAATTATTAATTCATTTTAATTAGTTTTAATTAATTTAGAACGATTCCGTGAGGCCGATCCCGAACGATCCCGAATGATCCCGAACGGGCGGGGGGGGGGGGGGGGGGGGGGGGGAGGTGAGGCGTTCGGGACACAGAATCGTTCTGGATCGGCCTTGTAGGAACGTTCGGGATCGTTCGGGATCGTTCGGGATCGGCCTCACAGAATCGTTCTGGATCGGCCTTGCGGGAACGTTCGGGATCGTTCGGGACCGTTCGGGAACGGCTTCATAGGATCGTTCGGGATCGTTCGGGATCGTTCGGGATTGTTCGGGATCGTTCGGGATCGTTCGGGATCGTTCGGGATCGGCCTCACAGAATCGTTCTGGATCGGCCTCGCAGGATCGTTCGGGATCGTTCGGGATCGTTCGGGAACGTTCGGGATCGTTCGGGATCGTTCGGGATCTTTCGGGATCGGCCTCGCAGAATCGTTCTGGATAGGCCTCGCAGGAACGTTCGGGATCGTTCGGGATCGTTCGGGATGGGCCTCACAGAATCGTTCTGGATCGCAGGAACGTTCGGGATCGTTCGGGAACGTTCGGGATCGTTCGGGATTGTTCGGGATCGTTCGGGATCGGCCTCGCTGAATCGTTCTGGATCGGCCTCGCAGGAACGTTCGGGATCATTCGGGATCGTTCGGGATCGGCCTCGCAGAATCGTTCTGGATCGGCCTCGCAGGATCGTTCGGGGTCGTTCGGGATCGTTCGGGATCGTTCGGGATCGTTCGGGATCGTTCGGGAACTTTCGGGATCGTTCGGGATCGTTCGGGATCGTTCGGGATCGGCCTCGCAGAATCGTTCTGGATAGGCCTCGCAGGAACGTTCGGGATCGTTCGGGATCGTTCGGGATGGGCCTCACAGAATCGTTCTGGGTCGGCTTCGCAGGAACGTTCGGGATCGTTCGGGAACGTTCGGGATCGTTCGGGATTGTTCGGGATCGTTCGGGATCGGCCTCGCTGAATCGTTTTGGATCGCCTCGCAGGAACGTTCGGGATCGTTCGGCACAGAATCGTTCTGGATCGGCCTCACAGGATCGTTCGGGATCGTTCGGGTTCGTTCGGGATCGGCCTCGCAGAATCGTTCTGGATCGGCCTCGCAGGAACGTTCGGGATCGTTCGGGATCGTTCGGGATGGGCCTCACAGAATCGTTCTGGATCGGCTTCGCAGGAACGTTCGGGATCGTTCGGGAACGTTCGGGATCGTTCGGGATCGGCCTCACAGAATCGTTCTGGATCGGCCTCGCAGGAACGTTCGGGATCGTTCGGGATCGTTCGGGATTGTTCGGGAACGTTCGGGATCGTTCGGGATTGTTCGGGATCGGCTTCACAGGGTTCTTTCATCGGGATCGTTCGGGATGGTTCGGGAAGAAGGGGTGGGGGGTGGGGGGGGGGGGGGGGGGGGGGGGGGGGGGGGGGGGGGGGGGGGGGGGGGGGGGGGGGGGGGGGGGGGGGGGGTGGGGGGGTGGTTGGTGGGTGGGTGGGGGGGGGGGGGGGGGGGGAAGAAGGGGTGGGGGGTGGGGGGGGGTGGGGGGGTGGGGTGGTGGGTGGGGGGGGGTGCGGGGGTGGGGGGGTTGGGGGGGTGGTTGGGGGGGGGAGGGGGGTTGGGGGGAACAACACCTGACAAGAGTGTTTGCCTCCAATAAATCACGTGGAGTACAGCCTATCAACGACAACAAAGCCTATATAACACAGCCAACTGCTGCCGACCACTGTGCACCGATGAAACCCGGACAAAGACAGACGACTCGCGCCGGTTTTGCTTCCAATATACGTCGCAGAGCACAGTTTATCAACGTCAATAAAGCCAACTATTGCCGACCACTGTGCGCCGATTAAACCCGAACAAAGACAGACACCTCATACCAATTTTGTTTCCGATATACATCACAGAGGACAGCTTATCAACGACACAAAAGTCTAATATCAGTCGAATAAAGCCATTTATTGCCGACCACTGTGCACCTCGCACCAGTTTCGCCTCTAATACACAACGTGGAGCGCAGCTTATCAACGACAGCAAAGCCCCATAAAGCCAAGTATTGCTGACCACTGTGCACCTATTAAGCCAGAATAAAGATAGACACCTCACACCAATTTTGCGTCCAATATACATCGCAGAGGACAGCTTATCAATGACACGGAAGCCTAGTATCTTCAACTGTTGACGACCATTGGGCACCGATTAAACCCGAACAAAGACAGACACCGCACACCAGTTGTGCTTGCAATTTACAATGCACAGCACAGCTTAAAAACAAGAAAAGACGCTTAATAAACGCAACCGCCTTACATCTTTTCCGACATGAATATCAACCACCACGTACGTTTCACGCACGCTTCAAACCCAAAAAAACACTTCAGTAATCCCCCAAAAACATCAGAAACACCAGCCACCTGGCACCAATTAATCATCGCAACAGCCACCCCCCCCGCCCCACAAAAACAAGACAACGACAACCTACCAACACCAATAAAAACAGCCAAACGATAGCCCCATGCAACACGCCCGGGCCTGCACATAGCACCGTTTCCCCGGTAGTCTTAAGCATTCCGAGGGCTAGCCAATATATACTATATATTTTAAGGGGCTGCGCCTAGGGGCGGGCAACGCCCCGAGGAGGCAGAGCATGCAAGCACGCGCGCGCAGGCAAGGCCATCCAAACGGCGCGCGCGGCGCGCACAAGACAAGCTGCGCAATCCGGAATAAAGGCTCACAAGCCTCCATCCACAGAGTCATTGGCTCCGTTCCTCGCCCTGTAAGCCCCCCGGGCCCTCCCCCTCCCAGCATCACGAGCATCATTGGGCCCCCGCTTCTCCTCCTTGGGGCCATCACCGCCCCTTCAAAAGCAGTCCAAAGCAGGAATTGTGCCTACACGGATGATTTTGGGCCCCGGCGAGCATCATGAGGATCAGCAGCATCGCAATTTCGGGAAGAGGGGGTCAAATCCCGCCTCGGCAGTGCCAGCGTTTTTGCGGGGTTTTCAACTGCTTAAGCAAGGGCTTCCGCCCTAGCACACACAGAGGCGTGCCCGATCTAATGCCTAACCAGCGCCGCCGCCGGGTGGTGGTGGGTTGGGGTGGGGGTACTGGCTGGCAAACGGGGCGAAGGTGGGGGGGTAGGCTTAGGGAGTGGGTAGGGGGGGGGGGGGGGGGGGGGGGGGGGGGGAGAGGGTGGGTATAGTTTATATATATATATATATCTATATATCTACATATCTATATATCTATATATCTATACATATATATATATATATAAGACATAGCATAAAGGGTCACTTTGCAGCGGCAGTCATGTGAAGGACACAAACAATGCAGCACTGCGTGCGAGAAGTGTTCCAAATCGTATAGTGGGGAGCCCTGTGTTGCCATGGGGGGAGCACCCGAAACTACTACTACTACTACTACTACTACCACTACTACTACCACTACTACTACCACTACTACTACCACTACTACTAGTACTACTAGTACTACTGGTACTACTAGTACTACCAGTACTACTAGTCCTACTAGTACTACTAGTACTACTAGTACTACTAGTACTACTAGTACTACTAGTACTACTAGTACTACTAGTACTACTACTACTACTACTACTACTACTACTACTACTACTACTACTTCTACTACTTCTACTACTACGACTACGACTACGACTACGACTACTTCTACTACTACTACTGCTACTACTACTACTACTACTACTACTACTACTACTACTACTACTTTAGTGGGCAAAGACGAGTGTTCTCATACATGGTTTGTTGCGTAACTCTACTCTGCTCCACGTACGATACTATACTCTATGTGCAAGCGAGAGAATATGGTATATAGCTATGCACATATAGCTATAGATAAACTATGCTATATGGTCGGACCTTCTACCACGCCTGAGGTTGGCATCACAGTCCACGGCACCCACCAAGCCCGGGTATCAAACAACGTCATGTGGAACACGATGTCTGCCGGCGTTTACATCGAGGATGGCAGCGGGGTTGTTTCGGGTTGAGGGTTCAAAGTAGTAGCCTCCGCAACCCACAAAATAAATACCCAACAGCACTCTGGCAAAGCCCCTGGAACTACCCGTTCATTTTCACCCCTCAAAATCTCGAGGATGGGAACGAGATGAACAACACTTTCGAGGAGAATGTCGTGATATGCATGCACGAGGTGCTCTCAAGTGCAAAGCCACTCTAAGGTGCGAAACGTTTTACAAAGTCCTGCAGTATACACTCTGGGATTGCCCTCGTGTTTCAATGAACGATCGGAAGTCTCCCTTGCAACTCCAGCGTTCGCAAGCCTTGATGAGATAAAGTTTAGAGCGTGCAAACAAGGGTTCTGCTGTCCGAAATAGGTTTTGGTTTCTTGAGGCACAATCATTACCAAAGGAGCTTTCTACTAGCCATTTCCTTATCTAATTTAGAAGCCCGTCTGCTTACTTCCCAGGAGCAGATACAACAAGAATAAGAGCATCATAGAGCATCAGCATTGTCTTCACCTGTTTTATTGATCATGTATGAGCTCACGCTTTTTGTTTCATATTGCTTCTGCTCTTGCTAAGAACTTAGTAGTCCAGTTTTTGAAGCACCTGTGGCATGGGTCCGTGTGACACCAGCAAGGCCTGTAGCTTGCACATACGCCAAAGGGTTTAGGCTTTACGTTGGCCGTGTTTCTGAGCGTGTCCTCCTGCGCCAGGTGCCGCAGGTCAACCCCTTGCCATGCAACAAGGGCGACACTGGAATTTGCCCCGAAGCTCGCCGCGGCTGCACCTACGACATGTTCAACCAGGAGTGGCTTTCAAGGGCTTAAGAAGACTGGCATTTGCTATCCTAGCTACATGATACCACCCTTTTGTTGGCTGCCGACCTCGAGGACCACCTGATGTGTAGCTGTTCCCAACAATCTCTTGGTACAATGCATCATGACTGGCCTGCTGCATAATGCAGCTTCGAGGTGCAGGTGTTGTCGTTAATGTTGCTAGGCTGCTAGAGCTCCAAAGACGGAGAGAAAGCCAATCAACACAGAACCAGGGCGGGCGCTTGGGCGGCTTTTTTGTCATCGGGATGACGAACGCTTTCATCAGGCGGGCGCTTCACCAGCCGAGCCCGCGTTAGGAGGCTCCGAGAGCCTAAACTTCTTCCACAGAGAGTCTCCCCCCGCTCTGTACAGTGCTACTTCGATGGGTTTTGTCAAGTTGGATGCGCGGGTAAGGGCCCCAAAAAGAGACCCGATACATAGTTCCCAGCAAGAAGTGACCCCAAGAAGGGATTTTGCCAATCTAGAGCATGGGAGAGGGAGAGCCCAGCATAGTCACGTTGGGCGGTCTGCCCTTTGGATTTAGGATGGTTTGGGCTGTATAGGTGTCAGGCTTTAGGGTTTATGCATTAGGGTTTGGCCGCCGATTCTTGTGGCTAGCTGTATATGGTTCCGACCAAGCAGACTCTAGCTCCCCCTGTGCTGGAACCCTCAACTCGGGAAGGTATATTAGAATTCCTAGAACCCCCTGAACCCAAATCCCCAAAGCCTCTTCTCTGGAAGCCTGCACCCGCCGACTGTGTAGAGCACCAGTGGATTCTTAGTGCGGTAAATGCAGTAGAGCCTCAAGCTTTCCTGGAACTGTAACCCTGCTGCAGAAACCGCGTGGTGAACATGGAGAACTGCTTTTGGTTCAAAGGCCTGAAGCCGCAACCTCGGCGTCTCACGCGAGGTCATAGCTTAATTACAGTTTAGGTACTCCCCTATATGGTATATAGTACAACCAAAAAACTTATAGTATTCTATACAGTACCCTATACGAAAAACAAGCCATAGCACCCTGTATAGTAATTACCCTATGCTATAATACCCTATAGTAGCAGACCGTCTAAGGCTTTGGGCAATTAGGGTTTAGGGTTTAGGGTTTCTTCGCTGGAGTATAGGGTGCAGGACGGTATGCTAGGGGTGTGCTACCATACACTATGATCTACAAAGTGTGCTTTGACGCTGCCTTGAGAGTCCGAAGCCCAACAGAGCCCTTACTCAGCTCACACTAGAATCCCAGAAGCCCTACCCGAAGCCCTGTACCCATCTCAGGCCTTAATCCGTCATCTTACCCCAAACCCTAGACTATCCTCGCTATATTAGTACGATGCTTACATTCATGCTATGCTACTGTATTCTACATAGCACAGCATACGTAGCAGAAGCTATCTCCCCCCTTTGTGGGGAGTTTAGCTGCGGCAGGCTCGGCGGATCCAATGGGTCGCGGCCATGCAGCAGGATTGGCCCAAACAGATTTGGATCAGCATGCTATTGCGACAAAGGGTTTAGGGTTTAGGGCAGTGCAGACTGCTGTACGTAGCATCCTCGCCGAACGTTAGACCCAAACCCTCAACCTACTGCAAAACCCTGAAAACCCGAAGTAAAACCCTCCCATTCTTCGGGGTCTCAAGGCGTTGCAGCTCGCTTTCGATCTGGCTGCAAGCCGAAGCTCGCAACATCGTCCTTTCAGTCTACAGTCTACGACAACACTGTATACCTGTACTTTGATCCCTTACATTCCTATCGTTTCTCCTTATTGTCGTTTAGGCGTATGTCATAGCATTAATAGATATATATATATACACATATATATATATATGGGTCACCGCCTATAGCGGTTCCCCTGTGTTTTTTGCAGATTCCCTTAAACCATCTAACCGAGAATCCCTCAAACCATTAAACCATTAAACCATTAAACCAATGGTTTCCCCCATATGAGAATCCCCTAAACCCCTAAACTATTAAACCATTAAACCATTAAACCATTAAACCATTAAACCATTAAACCATTAAACCAATGTTTTCCCCCTTCTGAAAATCCCCTAAACCATTAAACCATTAAACCATTAAACCATTAAACCATTAAACCATTAAACCATTAAACCAATGGTTTCCCCCTTATGAAAATCCCCTAAACCATTAAACCATTAAACCAATGGTTTCCCCATATGAGAATCCCCTGAACCATTAAACCATTTTCATGGGGGGGCAACCATTGGTTTAATGGTTTAATGGTTTAATGGTTTAATGGTTTAATGGTTTAATGGTTTAATGGTTTAAGGGATTCTCATATGGGGAAAACCATTGGTTTAATGGTTTAATGGTTTAATGGTTTCATGGTTTAGGGGATTTTCATAAGGGGGAAACCATTGGTTTAATGGTTTTAATGGTTCACTGGTTGAATGGTTTACTTGTGCTCCTGCCGAGGTACCTTGACCGCATCTTTTCTGCTCCTAAAATTCTGATTGGCAAGCAGTGTCGCCTGTATCTTTTCTGCTCCGAATATTCTGAATCGCAAGCAGTGTCCCCCGTATCTTTTCTGCTCATAAGTATACGTATACCATATGGGATTACGCCTTAAACCCTAACTCCTTAAACCCTAACTCTATAGGGTTTAAAGGTTAGGGTTTAGGTTGAATTGCCGGTATAGGTATAAATGCTTCAACCTTAAACCCAACCTGTGAACCTTAACCCTATAGGGTTGGGGTGCCTACATCATCATCGGAATTGACGAGCTGTGCGGAAATGTCTATATGACAAGGTTATAATTTATTGCTGTGGTTATAACTATGGGTTAGGGTTTGGTTTTTTACACACTTATGTAAACCCATAACAAAAAAGGGGAACCCCATCGCGCCCCAACAAGCGAAATATCCGAAATACTTTACCTGAGCTAAAATATCTCAAGCAACCATCCCCCGATACGCAAAACCTGAATTCCATCATTTAACGATATAGTTTGTTTATATGTTGAATCCCAGCAAGTAGTGAAAGTGACGAGCTCTGCGGAAATAACCATATGACAAGGTTATAACTTTTTGCTGCGGTTATAACTATGGTTCAGAGTTTGATTTATATACATGTAAATAAACCTATAAGAAAATGAGGGTAACCCCATCACGCCCCAATAAGCAAAACAAAACCTCTATCCGAAAAACTTTACCTTACCTTAGATAGCTCAAGCAACCATCCCCCGACAAGCAAAACTTGAATTATCCTCTTTGTTTATATTTTGAATCCCATCAAGTAGGAAGGACATTTGCTCACAGTATTCTCGCGTCACCGGGACGAAAGCCCTACAAACGTAGGCATAACCCTATGGGATTTAAGGTTTAGGGGTTTCAAGGTTCTATGTTATAGGAAATTAATGCCCAAACCTTAAACCTAAACCTTTAAAACCTATAGGGTACAATGGTTCGACAACCTAAGGTCTGGGCATGTATACCTTCAGCACCCTTTAGGGTTAAAACCTTTGAACCTTTGGGAGCCCTATGGGGTTTTACGGTTCTGACCCTAAACGAATCAGGGTTAAGGTCTAAATGCCCGAAGTTTAAACCCTTAAGGGTAAAACTCTTTGGGTTTTCGTTTTAAATGCCTAAATCCTAAACCCCAACCCCTTAAACCTGAACTCTAGAGGGTTTACAGGTTCGGGTTCAGGTTGAATTGCCGGCTTAGGTTTAAATGCCTCAATCTTAAACCCTAAACCTGTCAACCTTAACCCTATAGGGCTGGGGCGCCTACATCATGATCAGATTTGACGAGCTCTGCGGATATATGTATGTGACAAGGTTATAACTTTTTGCCGCGGTTAAACTATGGTTCAGGGTCTGATTTATTTACATGTAAATAAACCTATAAGAAAATGAGGGTAACCCCATCACGCCCCAATAAGCAAATCAAAACCTCTATCCGAAAAACTTTACCTTGGCTAAGACATCCCAAGCAACCATCCCCCGATAAGCAAAACCTGACTTCTATCATATAACGATATGGTTTGTTTATATATTGAATCCCAGGAAGTAGTAAAAAGGACATTTGCTCACAGTATTCGCGCGTCACCGGGCAGAAAGCCCTACAAGCGTAGGCATAACCCTATGGGTTTTAAGGTTTTGGGATTTAAGCCCCAAGCCCTATAGGTCTTTAAGGTTCTATCGTACAGGTAATGCCTAAACCTTAAACCCTAAGCCTTTAAACCCTGTAGGGTTGAATGGTTCAAGAAAACCTAAGGTCTGGGCATGTATATCTTCAGCACCCTTTAGGGTCAAAACCTTTGTTCCTTGTAGAGCCCTATCGGGTTTTAGGGTTCTGACCCTAAACGGTTCAGGGTTAAGGTTTAACGCCCGAACTTTCAACCCTTAAGGTTAAATCTCTATGGGTTTAGGTTTAAAGTCTAAAAACACCTAAATCTTAAACCGTAACCGCTTAATCTTAACTCTATCGGGTTGAACGGTTTGGGTTTGGGTTTCATTGCGGGCTTACGTTTAAATGCCTAGGTTTGGGGCGCCTACATCATCATCGACTTGTTGCTGTGGTTATAACGATGGTTTAGGGTTTAACATACATACATTTATGTAATCCTATAAAAATAAGGGGAACCGCAATAGGCGGACGCCCATATATATATACATAGAAATGTTATATCAAGAGCAGATAGCTTCGACATGGACCACCCCACTAGCACTTCTTGCCTGCTTCCCTCGTATTCTGTTCCATATTTCTTGCTACAACTTTTTTAGTACTACCACCGCTACTGCAACTGTCGCCTCGAATCCTGTACGACCCATGGAGTTGTAATTTTCTCTATATACTCTGTAGCCCAAACCCCAAACCTGAACCCCTGACCCCAAACCCTAGACCTCAAGCCCTAAAGCCTAAACCCCAAATCCTAAACCCAACCGGACCCCTGAAACCCGTAGCTCTGAAGCAGGCAAGGTATGCCCCATGCATTTGCCCTTCGGCCGCATCCGCGGGAACGTTTGCCACGACAACCGACGTTTTGGCCCCCTGGTGGATGAGGAAGTCGTCTCTTGTTGGGCTTTGGGGCCGTTTATAGGTTGGGGCTCTGAGCTCCGGGCTTGAGAGCTTGAGGGTTGAGGGCTTTCCGGTCTTTGGGTGCGAGGGTTCTGAGAGGTTTATGGTTTAGGATTTCGGGATGTTTTGGGTTTAGGGCTCAGGTGCGAGTGAATGGAGTGAAAACAGGTTTTGTTCTCTTCCCAAGATTTGGTTTAGAGTTTTAGGGTTAGGGCTGAATCAGGGTGTAGGGTTTAGGGTGTGAGGCGCGGGTTTCAGGGGTTCGAGGCCTGACTGTAGTACAACGTAAAACAGGATCGGGGACTCGATGATTCACACCCGAATTCTTGACGGGACTCCCACATGAGATGATGCAGTTTACTGACTTGTCCTCGTGCAGACACGTAGACGCTACAATAGTTGGTATAGCTATACGATGGATTTAGGGTTTAGAGATGTATTGCCAGGGTGCGGAAAAAGGGCTAGAGGGGGATGCCATTCATAGCTGCACGCAGCCACCAAGGCATGTACCTCGACTTTCAGCAGCCCCGCATGCTGCCAAGGGATGAGAACGGCTTTGTGGCAGACATTCACGATCCGAGCTGCAACTGCTTCAATGAGGCGCGGCTTCAAATTTCAGGCTTGCACTCCGTGACGCTGTAGTATCCCAAGAAGCAGACCCAGTCCTTTGAGGTGACCCCACAGGGGGAAGACAGCGGCATCGTTCCGGCCAACGTTGTTGAAGACGAGCTAGACTGGCACAACGAGTTTGTGGGCCAATACACCTTGTCCGACGTCCGCTACTTGCGCTATGTCGGAATAAACAACATGCACTGCATGTACTGGAAATCATCGAAGAAGTTTGCGGACAAAAGCTTGCACCATGTCGTGGACTCCATGTGCATCAACGTGCCTGGTGCCTCAGCTCTGGTATCGTAAAATTTGCTGCCCTTCCCTGTCAGATTCTTCCCCCCCGGTGTATTGCCCTCAGCAACAGCCACGACAACGCCACCACCACCACGGCCACGGCCGCGGCCGCTGCCGCTGCCGCTGCCGCTGCTGCTGCTGCTGCTGCTGACGACTACTACTACTACTACTACTACTACTACTACTACTACTACTACTACTACTACTACTACTACTACTACTACTACTACTACTACTACTACTACTACTACAACTGCTACTACTACTACTCCAACAACTGCTACCACTACTGCTACTACTACTACTACTACTACTACTACTACTACTACTACTACTACTACTACTACTACTACTACAACTGCTACTACTACTACTCCAACAACTGCTACCACTACTGCTACTACTACTCCTACTACTGCTGCTACTACTACTACTACGACGACGACGACAACGACCTACTACGACTACTACCACTGAGTACTTGCTACCTACACTGGGAGGCACTTGTTGGGAGATGGCAAATGCGACCAGCCAGCTGACGACTACTGCCTACTACGACTATTACTACTACTACTGCTACGATTCCTACTACGACTACTACTACTATTACTACTACTACTACTACTACTACTACTACTACTACTACTACTACTACTACTACTACTACTACTACTGCTACTGCTTGTGAAGTCGACCAGCACTGGATTTGCACTAAACCAATGCAATCACAGCCCGGCCACGCTGTTTTACGACTTCGCGAGTTCAAGCACTTGTGCAGCTACGCCTGAGTGCGTCCGGTCGGACCGCACAGCAACCTAAGAGCTACTGTACGAAACTACCGTGCTCAAAGGCACAAGCTCGGTACTTGAGCCAAAACATTGGCATTGTTACGAATTGCAAAACTACACATGCAAAGGAAAACAACACGCTGCGCTAGCACTAAGCAAGCACACCATGCATGCTTTGACCTGCTCACATTCGCCCCTCAGCCGAGGCTTCCGGCTCACCAAGAGCTCATAGTGCGTCAAGCACTTCCGCAACGCGGCAAATGGGGTAGGGCGAGGGTGTCGCGTGCGACCCTGGTAGAGCCCGCACATCATGAGCATTGGCATGCGGCTTGGGCGGCAGCCCGCACTACCAAACGGACGCACGACGACAGCAGCCCTCTACGACCCTAAACCACCCCAAGTCGCGAGCGCTCACCTTTGTGCTGGAAGGCGAGGCTCCAGAGTACTGGGCAGGTCTTTGTGCTGCTAGTGCAAAGCTATGGTACAAATGGTACACTGTACAAACTACCGGCCCTAAGCTACGGCTACGGCTACTCACCTATCCAGAACTACCCTACGGGCTACCGGACTCAGCGAGAGCCGCGCACATTGCTTGTGCCGCAGCCAGTGCAACTCGCACGCGCTTCGGCGAGCGCACTGCCGCGACCAGGACACGGTCCGCAGCACCTGCAAAAGGGCTCCCTCGACGAGAGGGGCCACAGGCAGGGCGGAGAAGAAAAGTGCGGGGGATGCAAAATGGGCAGGCTTCAAACCTGCCGCGGCTTTTCGCCCGCAGTCACGCAAAAGAAAGTGCAAAAGGTTGGCGAAGCAACGCGCCGTGCTGCGACGCCTGCTCTGATAATGCGTGGATACATACCACGCCGCGCCAACTGGCCGCAGCCTACTCGATACCCTGTGGAGCAGCGTTGGGGGCACGAGTGGCGTTGCCAGCAACGTTGGAGCTACTGGCTCGCTCCAACTGAGGGCGCTTTGCAACCGCCTCATCGAGGGAGAATGCCTCGGCCGACACCCTCTGGAATTCCTCGACGTAGGACTGCGCGACAGGGTGCGTCTTGGGGACCTCAAGCTTAAGCCCTGCCTCCGCATTGGCTTTGCTGCTTGTGGTAAAATTGAGGCTCCCAGTCAGCACCACCGCGCCGTCAGGCCGCAGCAGGCAAAGGGCCTTGGCATGGTGCAGCCCTTGAATCCCGGTGCCTACCTTAGCCCCGCGGCCGTCGCGAGCATAGGCGTCGCGCAAGGATGTGCCGCAACCCACCTTCACCTCGGCACCTGCGGCCGCCAAGCGTTTCAACGCTTGCCACTGAAGCTTGGTGCGGTGGCATTGTCCCATGTCGGCGACAATCCGAACGCTTGCGCCCTTGCCAAGCGACGCTTCGATTGCCTCGATGCAGGATGGGCAATCTAAGCTGTAAGCCCGGATGTAGATCACATCCTCTGCTGCTCCTGACCCAAGCAGCGTTTGGGCGGCCTGAATGTACGGCCCGCCCGCAAGGAATTCTGCTCCTCTGACTGGAGAACTCCTAGCGGGGGCTGGGCCCTTGTTCCTCCGGCCTGGCGTGCGCGCCACAGTGGCAGTGGCGGCACGTTGCACGGAGCCGGAATGTGCGTGGGCTGCGCTCGCTCCATCTGCTGGGGCCGCGGCCAGGTCACGACCCGCGAGCCCCTGAAAGCAGGAGAGCCCGCGGCTCTTGGCCGCGAGTTGGGAGAAACACCCTTCACTGTTCCCCAAACCCAACACCACCCTACCCTTAGCTAGGGCGTCGGAGGCGGTGCTCCGAATGGAGTCTGTGAGCGCCGGACCCGCGCCTCGCTGGGCCGCGTGCAAAAACCCTAAGGAACGAGCGGTGTCCATTGCGGAATCGCAATGCCCGCAGCGTCCTTCTGCCAGGTAAGCACGACAGCCACAGGCAGCTGTCTCCTCCTTGAGATGCACCCAAACCTTATGGGTCACCCCTTTCTTGGTGCTCGCGACCTCAAACGTCGCTTCGGAGCCAAGGAGCTGAGACAGCCGCGCCTCAGGGGCCGCGGTGTTGCCATGTCGCAAATGCGCAATGCGATTGGCAACGGCACGACTCACGTACCACAGAACAGCACCGCACAAGATCACTACCACGAGAGTGATGGCTGTTCCGGCGACCCACACGGTCCGCCTCGCCCCGTGACCGATTTCCTCGACCACGTCGGCCGAAATCGTTGCAACCGCGTGCATAGAGTCCTCGACAACATGCACAGCCCCGCGGTGCAACTGCAAGGCAATCGGCGCCGACGCTGCAGCCGCCAGGCCCCACCAGCCGTTGATGTTCCCGTTGAGGGCATGCATCAACCGATTGAGGAGCCCGCGACCCAGGAAAAAGGGGGTCCGCGGCGGAAGCGGAACACTCGGCGGCGGCCGGGCCGACCCGCACGGGAAAGCTGGGACCCAGCTGGTGCTTGGGCGGGGTTGGAGCGCGGCAACAATGCCCGCGGCGAAAGCGCCCCAGGCGTACTTGCCCCTCCCCTTGGGCTTGCCCTTGGCATCGGACTTGCCTCTGCCCTTCGGCTTGCCCTGGCCCTTGCCACGGGCGTCTGCCCAAGCACCCCACGGGTCGCGGCCCTTGCCGTGCGTCGCCTCCTCGCGACGTCTCTTGCCGCCCCTCTTCTTGTGTTTGCTCCTAAGAAGAGGCTGGATCGTTTCCTGATCCATCGCGCGATTTGCCAGAAGGATCTCGTACTCCAGCTCATCTTGGCTGCTCTCGGAGCCCGAGTCCCTCTGTTCGCCGCGCCGCGGATCCGGGATCCCGCGGGACACGACCTCTGCCAAGCGGAGGGGTGTGCTGCACCTAAAGCACAGCTGCCTGAATGAAAGGTTCCATTCATAGCAGTTAGGGCACTGCCACCCTGCTATGCGGAGCGCTTCGCTGATGTGATCATCGCGCTCCGCCTTCTCCGCCTGGCGCCGCTCCCGCTTCTTGGCGCGCTCGGCCGCCTGCGCCTCCTCGGCCGCCTGGAGGGCTTCAGCGAGTTCCTCATCGCTGAGGAGCCTCGCGGCATCTGCCCGCGCTTGTTGGTCTTCAAGCTCTTCGGCAGAAAACCTCCGCCGCCATTGCTCCGGCGCGGTTTGGGGATCCACCTCCCACCACCCGATGTCGATCCCATTGATCCATCGGCCGTCGCACGGGGCGCCCGCATTCGGGCCGCCCGCGTGCGTGGTGAGGCACTGGTCCTCGGTCACCGGGTTAATGGCTTCGCAGAAGAAGCACCGCCAGCTGCCGTAGGGGTAAAAGCGGCCTTCGACGTAGGCTCGGTTGGCTGGGAGGGCGACCTCGTCCGCCTCATCCGCGGTGGCAGCCTCCATCTCAACCGAGACCTCTTCGTCCTTGACGACCTCCGTCTCCTCCTCCTGTTCCTCCTTGACCAGGGGCTCTTCCTCCTCCCGGCCAACCTTGAGGTGGGACTCAGTGCGAACCTCGGCGCGCATCAAAATGACGTCAAGGCTATCCGCGGCTGGGTCGCCCGCGAAGAAGGAGTCGATCTCCTTGGCATGGAGATCGTCGAGAGGCGTCACCAGGTCCGGCGAGTAGTCTCGCTTGGAGCGACGCTCGGCCAGGCGTCGCGGAGCGGCCTTCCGCGGAGGCTCGGGCACGGCCTCCTCCGTGGGCTCGCTCTTGGGCGTGGACCCTCCATCGCTTCCCTCTGGAGCACCAGGAGGGTCCAGCTCGGGGTCGTCGCGAAGCCACCCCGGCGGATGGCTACCACCATAGATGTGGTGCGATCCATCCTCAAGCTGGATTCGGTCCCCTCGCCTCAGGAGCGGGACTCTCGAGTGATCGTACCCGTTCGCTTTGTGGTACCTAATCACTCGGAGCATGGGCACCTCCCCATACCCACCGTCCTTTCCTCGGCGGAACAGCCGTCCCCGCCAGTCCTGACGAAAAGGGTCAAGAGGTGCGGAGGGGCTGATCCCCAGGTTGGGCGGAAGAGAGGCGCCATGGCAGGCCGCCTGATGCAAGTGGTACTGCACCAGCGACTCAAAGGCTAGCCCGCATCCCGGAGCCGAACATCCGTAGTGGCCGTCAGCGTTGGGGCGAGGCTCCTCTGAGGCTGAGGCGGACTGGGCGGTCCCGCCCCCCGAAGGCCTGGCGGAACTGCTCGGCCCTGCAGCCGGGGGCGTCCGACACCTCTTCCCCGTCGGCGCCTTCCCCGGCCGCCCGACTCTCTCCCTCTCGGCGCAGGGTTTTGAGGGAC